ACACACACACACACACACACACACACACACACAGAGTATATATATACACACACACATATATATTTAATATGCTGAAGGATTTAAAGGAAAACAAATATAAAGTGAAAAGAAATGGAAGATATAAAATAAGACCAAATGGAACTTCTAGAGTGAAAAATACAACATCTGAAATGAGAATTACATTAGATGAGTTCAGCAAACGGGATACTACATAGTAAAGTATCAGAATACTTGAAAACGCAGAATAGAAACTATCTGAGAGAAAGAGAGAAACAAACTTTTGCTTCTGACTAACAAGGAGCATAGATCTTGCCTTCTCACTATTAAAAACAAACAAACAAAAAATCCCAACTGGAAAATAAAACAAAATATGTGAAACAACTGCTTTCAGATAACAGAAAAAGCCAATAAAGACAGGTCCTTAAGAGAAGGGAAACACAGGAAGTAAGCCCCATATTCAGCCTGACTTCCTACGTGAAGGCATATTCTAGGTCTTGGTACTAGGAGAAGAACCTTAGGTAACACAGAGATTGGAGTTCAGAGAGGCTGCAGGGATTCTTTAAAGATCCATAAATAGGGACGGGCTGATTGCCTGAGGTCGGGAGTTTTAGACCAGCCTGACCAACATGGAGAAACCCATTTCTACTAAAAATACAAAATTAGCCAAGTGTGGCAGCACATGCTTCTCAGGAGGCTAAGGCAGGAGAATCATTTGAACCCAGGAGGTGGAGGTTGCGGTGAGCCAAGATCGCGCCATTTTACTCCACCCTGGGCAACAAGGGTGAAACTCCGTCTCCAAAAAAAGGTCCATAAATACTCCAGGCTCAGTGGCTCATGCCTGTAATCTCACCATTTGGGAGGCCAAGATGCAAGGACTGCTTGAACCCAAGAGTTTGAGGTCAGCCTGGGCAACATGGCAAAACCCAGTCTCTATAAAAAATACAAAAATTAGCAATGCATAGTGGCTACTTGGGAGCCTGAGGTAGGAGGACTGACTGCTTGAGCCCAGAAAGGAGAGAGGCTGCAGTGAGCTCTGTTTCCACCACCGTACTCCAGCGTGGGTGACAAAACAAGACCCTGTCTCAAAACAAAAACAAACAAACAAACAAAAAACCCTGTAAATAGAACCACATATAAGCTGCATGCAGTGGCTCATGCCTGTAATCCCAGCACTTCGGGAGGCCAAGATGTGTGGATCACTTGAGCTCAGGAGTTTGAGACCAGCCTGTCTGAGACCAGCCTGGGCAACACGGTGAAAATTCATCTCTACTAAATATACACAAAAAATTAGCTGGGCGTGGTAGTGTGTGCCTGTGCTCCCAGATACTCAGAATGATGAGGTGGGAGGATCGCTTGAGTTGAGGATGAGGTAGGAGGATTGCTTGAGCCCAGGAGCCAAGATCGTGCTGCTGCACTCCAGCCTGAGCAACAGTGAGATCCCACATCAAAAAAAAGAAAAAAGAAAAAAAAAAAAGGTGATTAAGTGGGGGAAACAATCTATTCAACAAATGATGCTGGACCCAACATCGACTCGGAAAAAAACTTAAATATGTACCTGCTAATGACCGGGTTCGGTGGCTCATGCCTATAATCCCAGCACTTTTGGAAGCGGAGGTGGGTGGATCACGAGGTCAAGCGATAGAGACTAAACTGATCAACATGGTATAACCCCGTCTTAACTAAAAATACAAAAATTAGCTGGGCGTGGTGGCACACACCAGTAGTCCCGGCTACTCGGCAGGCTGAGGCAGGAGAACTGCTTGAACCCAGGAGGTAGAAGTTGCAGTGAATCGAGATGGCGCCACTGCACTACAGACTGGCGACAGAGCAAGACTCCATCTCAAAAAAAAACGAACAAAATATGTAGCTGCTGATATGACCCAAAATGATAAAACAACCTATGATGCATTCTAGCCAGAAACAATTAATTTGAATCCACAAAACTCCAGATCTAACTTCCAGTTTATAGAAAATGCAGGAGACTGAGGACAATCTATAAAAGACATCCCAAGAAAACAACCAAATAAATATAAAAGAGGCTGTACGTGGGACCCAAACCTACTTTCTTTATAAGTGCCACGTAACTAAAGGAGGCTGAGTCTGGAAAACAGGTTTGACAGTTTCCTAAGAAATGTAAACATACATCTACCATATGACCCAAAAATTCTACTCCTAGGTACATACCCAAGAAAATGAAAATCTATGTCCACACAAATACTTGCATATGAATGTCCAAAGCAGCGTTATGAATAACAGCCAAAAAGTGGAAACAATCAAAATGTCCATCAACTGATAAACAGTCAGACAAAATGTGATTTAGCCATACAATGGACTCTTATCCAGCCGTGAAAAGAAGTACTAGTATACACCACAACATGGATGACCCTTGAAAAAACTATGCTGAGTGAAAGAAGCCAGACACAAAAGACCACATGTTGCATGATTCCATTTATATGCAATGTCAGGAAAGGCAAATCTATAGAGACAGAAAGTAGATAAAGTGGCTGCTTAGGGCCGGGAGGCGGGAAGACACAAGGGATCTTTTTGGGGTAATAGAAATGTCATAAAATGTAACTGTGGTGATGGTTGTACAACTTTATAAATTTACTAAAAAGTTTTGCATTGTACACTTTATTTTTTTTATTTTAATTTAATTTAATTTTATTTTGAGACAGAGTCTCGCTCTGTCACCAGGCGTCAGGCTGGAGTACAGTGGCACAATCTCGGCTCACTGCAACCTCTGCCTCCCAGGTTCAAGCAATTCTCCTGCCTCAGCCTCCCGAGTAGCTGGGACTACAGTCGCGCACCACCACGCCCAGCTAATTTTTATATTTTAGTAGAGACGGGGTTTCACCATGTTGGCCAGGATGGCCTTGATCTCTTGACCTCATGATCCACCCGCCTCGGCCTCCCAAAGTGCTGGGATTACAGGCGTGAGCCACCATGCCCGGCCTGCACTGTACACTTTAAACAGGTAAATTTTATGGTATGCAAGTTATACCTCAGAAAAACCTGTTAAAACAGGAGAAAAAAGGAAGGGAGGATGCTAAGTTAGCAGACAGAACACAGACACATAATAACCAGATGCACTACTTAGCTCTGGACTAGAACCTGGTTTTGACAAACCAGATATAAAGATGTTTTTGAAACCAGATATTTTGAAAGATATTTTGAAACAAATGTGAGTATGGACTAGGTATAAAATGAAAATTTACTGATATGGAAAGTTAAACATAATTAACTGAGAAGAGTAGATTATAAAATAGTTAATGGTACAGCTGCTACGGAAAAAAGTATGGAAGTTCCTTAAAAAAAACTTTGGTTCACCGGGCGTGGTGGCTCACGCTTGTAATCCCAGCACTTTGGGAGGCCGAGGCGGGTGGATCACGAGGTCAAGAGGTCGAGACCATCCTGGTCAACATGGTGAAACCCCGTCTCTACTAAAACTACAAAAAATTAACTGGGCATGGTGGCGCGTGCCTGTAATCCCAGCTACTCAGGAGGCTGAGGCAGGAGAA